GAGTTGTCCTTAATTCTTGATTCTTTTTTGTGAAAGTGTTAGGATTATTAATTCTAGTATCCTGTATAATGTAACTTGGAATATACTTTTTGTTTGAAATTGCAAACACTTGGCCTATGCTTAGATTTAAGTATATGAATAGATCCTCCCTATGTTATCTGACACCCCTGGTACACATTACATTTCACTGGTTAATCACTTCTTTATTAGGAACCTGGCCACATGGTCATGAAATTAATGGTACAATAAAAACAGGGAATAAGCCACAAATTTATTATGCAAAATATGTGTAATAACTTTGTGGCTGGTTCCCGTTGTGCCTTAGATTGAACATGTTGCAGTGCTGATCAGTTCATTGGCTCTCCCAGCCTTGGGAGTGCACGGGGGCCTTGAATGTCTCCCATGCATGCACGTGGCTGGGAGCACTGGTCAGCTAAGTGGTAGTCTGAAACATGGGAGCACCAGGCACATGCCTTGCTACTTGCTGTGGCAGTAGGGTGTGATTGGGGTCTGACCCCTAATCCCATGATTGTGTTTCCTGTCATGCACTTGGGGCACAGGATTCACAATCCAACCAATCACCCCTCCTGCTATCTCATTGTGCCTTGAACTGAACAGCTGTCAATGGGGGGGGAGAAGGGGGGATGTAGCAAAATTAACAGTTTTATTGGAACCCTGCCCATATTTTCATCATTAGATAGCCCTGCCCCCAATTTTTTCTTAGCTTTAATTGTAATTACATTGTTTAAATAATTATTAAAACTAGAACATGTTTACTGAAATAATAACTCATCAAAGCCAAAATGTTGTATGGTACCAAATAAGTTTCCATTTAAGATCCTGAAGGAGGGTAATTGAGAGAGTGAAGGAATTGGGGTTTTTGGATGTTTACGGGGGCTTTTTGTGGAACAGAGGGCACAGTTTGGGGTCTTGATTTAAAATGTGGGGGGTTTGTTCCTTGTTACAATCACACAGAAATAATAAGGTTGGAAGGGACCTTCAGAGGTCATCTAGTCCAATTCCCTGTCTGAGGCAGTATCATCCCTATCCAAACCACCCCATACAAATCTTTGTCTAACCTGTTACTGAAGTTACGCAATCAGTCCCGTCATACAACCTAAACTACCACAGGTAAAGCAGGTGGACAACAGCTGTCAGTGTCCTTGTGCTGCAGGCTTTGTCAAAATAAATCCAGGGAAGAGGGTCACACAACTGGCTACAGAGGAAGGCAAAAAAAAAATATCGCAATGGGGTAAAATTCTTGACCCCAAATGTGGCAATCATTCTGACCCTGACTGGAGGGTCCAGTCCAGATACCCAGGCAGCCAACACCCTGTGCTTCTGAGATAGACCCCCCCCACCCAACTCCTCTGACCCCTCTAGCAACAGGAAGGGAAAATACTTTCTTCCTGGCCCCATGTAGCAACCAGAAAAGTCCAGAAGCATGGGAAGTACCCATAGCATAGGTATGTATAGCTGTACCTCCATTAATAGAGATTACACAACTTTCCTAGGCAATCTGTTCTGCTGCCTCACTGTTCTAACAGTTAAGAAGTTTTTCCTTATATCCAAACTAAACCTACATTTCTGCAACTTCAAGTCATTGATCTGTGTCCTGCTCTTTACAGTAACAGGGAAAAAATGTTCTCCCTCTTCTTTATGCCAGCCCTTCAGATATTTGAAGACTGCTATCACATTCTCTTTTAATTGCCCCTTCTACAAGTTGAACGTATCTAGTTCCTTCAACCTCTCCTTGTATATCGTGCCTTCCAAGCCCTTTAGCATTTTTATCACCTGCATTTGGACCCTCTGAAACTTTTCCATGTCCTTTTTAAAGTGTGGAGCTCAAAACTGTAGAGCACACAGTACTCTTACCTGTCTCCCATGAACTTGTAAATTCTGATATTATAAAGGTCTTTGTCTGTCTGTCTGTCTGCCCATAATGCTTTCAGCCAACTGCACATGCACTGCTGAGAGGGTGGGTGGTGATTGTTTGCGTGGGCCCAGGCTGCATGGGCCCAGGTTTGAGCTGCTGCCGGGGAAGTTTGTGGCGGCAGCAAACATGCCCCGGTCTCCCGAGCAGCAGAGCTTCCGCATGCCTCCCTGCTTGAGGGTGAAGCGGGGGGGATGGTCATGGTGGCAGTACCCCCCCCCGCTGCCCATCCTCAATGCCCCCCAAAACAGCCAGCAGGGAAGGGGAGGTGGCAGGCAGGGAGTGCAGTGGACCGGGGTGAGGTGAAGGGGTGGTCATGGTGGTGGCTATTGTCAGAGCTGGGCAGTGGGGAGGGAGGGAGGGAGAGTGGGAGGGGAGCAGGAAGGGGGCCCTGACAACAGCCGACACGGAGCGAGGGAGGCTGTGCAGACCCTGGTGGGTGGGTGGGGGGAGGTGAATGGCAGGGGTTATGGTGGTGGCTGTTGTTGGGGCTGGGTGGCAGGGAAGTGAGGAGGAAAGGGGAGGGGAAGGGGGGGATCATGGTGGCAGTGCCTCCCCACAGCCTAGCCTGGACAACAGGCATCAGGGCAGGCGGGGAGTAGAGGTGGGGAGAATATCCCCGCTGCAAGGCAGAGGCGGGCGTGGGGAGGGAGCCCCTGTGCCAGAGACTGGAGAAGGAGGTGGCGGAGGGAGTCTTTGTATGGCCAGGCCCAAAGGGTGAGCGGGACCAGGTAAACACTTCCCGAAAGCCATCATTCTTGACAGGCAATTAGCGAGTATTACTATAAAGGGCTCCAAGATCTCTTCTGCCTGTTCCTTGAGTACCATGGGATGAAGTTAATTTGGCCCTGCTGACTTGAATTCACTCAGATCCATCAAAAGCTCTCTGACTGTTGTTTTGCCATCTCATCTCTCAGCATATCCTCTTCCTTGTCCTAATAATCCTTCTTATTGCTGGGCTGCAGCTTAATTTTTTTGTAATGACTCAAATCAAGTTGCTATTGATCAGCTCTGCCTTTGTAGCTGGTGGTAAGCATTTGTTGTTCATCAGATATGGACTGGTGTGGAATCAGACCATATATGTGTTTTATGAATTGTGCAAGGTAGAACGCTATCAACAGGAGATTTAGAGAACCCTGAACCCCTAGAAAACTGTGCCCTCCAGCATACAGCAGGGGCTGGGAACTGAATATGGGTCCCCTAGATCCAGGTTGAGTACTTTAATCAGTAAGCTGTTTGACTATGGCCTGAAATGGTCCTGGCATGAACAGGTTTATGAATCTAGCTTTCTTTTTCCAGCTGAAAGTATTAGGTAAATTTGACCCAAATTTGTGAGCATTTTAGAGATGCCCCCAAACCACCTTTTTGGTGAATGAGCTGTTCTTTTAGATGTACTTAGAAGGTAGGGAGAATGTAGAGCAAAACAGGACACTGCCTTTTTGAATGAGTGGACAAGAAAGCTGAAAAGAGGGAGAGAAGGAAAGAGTGGAACAAGATCTGGAAAAGGGAGATGGTGATGGGAGTAGCACTAAATAAAGTCCAGCACAGGGAAAAGGAATTGGAAGAAAATGAGATTATGAAAATGCATAAGCAGTAAACAAAAGGGAAGGACATGATGAAAGCCAAAGAGAAAACAGCATCTGAAAAATGCATGAATGGAACATGGAAGAGCCCTGGAGCAGACCTGTCACAAATCTGGGAATCCACACCCCACAGGTTTGGAGCCATGTCTTTATAGATGTAGGGAGAGTGTGCAGTATTATTATTTTTTTCAGGGGCAGGGAAATACTAGTTATTATAGAGCAGGGGCGCTCAATCCCTGGCCCAGGGGCCAAATCAGGCCCACAGAGCCATAGTACCTGGCCTGCAGGTCTCCCTATGGGTTGATAAATTTGATGGTGGGGGAGTAGTGACAATTAAAACTGTCACTCCTCCCCTGCTGCCAAAAACCCAAGGCCTTTGCAACTGGGCCACACACCACCCTCTGTGCGGCTACAGCCAGGTTGAGGCCAGGCCACATCTTTCCCCCATACAGCCGGGTTGGGGCCAGATCATACCCCCTTTTCCTGTGCCTCTGGATTGAAGCTGGGCTGCCTCCATCTCCTATCCTCATGGCCAGATTGGGCCCCACCATGCCCACTCTGTGTGCTAAGTTAGGGCAAAAAGACTGAGCACCACTGGTATAAAGTGTGATTTGACATTGGGTGATGTATTTAGATACTGGGGATAAAACTGATTTAGGTGATGCAAAATACAAATATAAACTAAGCAGGTGCCAATTTGAGACATTGTGGCAGGCCAGGGTAGTTTGTAGTATCAGTCATTAGCTTTATTCTTTTACAAGTATATGCTGGAGAAAGGTCAAGACATAAGTTCACCTGCCTGAGTGCTCTCCCTCCACCTTCCACAGATTTCAGAGTGATATGGTCATATGTTGTTCTTGATCCACTCTGAACTCCCGTCAAGTTCAGTAAGAGCTTTAGGTGCTGATACTTGGCAGAAAACAGCGTTTAGATTTTTCTATGCAATTTATAAACACTTTAGCAACTCAGCAAATAAAAAAGTAGCCCTGAGGCATGCATATTTGGCTTTGCATATTTACATAGGGAGCTGATGGAGTTGATGAAGTCCTACAATATACACTTTTGTAGATTGAAAGCATAATGGGAACATGTCTTTGCAGTGAGATTTTTCTAATTTAGTGGAGTTTTTTTGGCCTATACTTGGCACAAGGTGGTTGGGTGTAGCACCCCTGACATGAAAGAAGTTACACAAGCTTCTGATCAGGCTTAGGTTAAGTTGGAGTTGTGAATATTCAGCAGTTTTGGAAAACAGGCTGAAGTTCCTGCAATTTGGTACCCAAAATTAGAAGCACATTTGGAGATATCCCCGCAGTAATTAGCCCAAGGATAGTCTGAGTCAGAGCCCGAACAGAATCCAGGAGTCTTGATTCTCAGTCACTTCTTCCAACCACATTCCTTCGTTCTTATTTCCATAAATAATTGTGTTTTACTGCTTTATCAAAGCATTCATAGTAACTTTCTCTGTGTCTTTTTTCTCACCATAGAAACTACCTCTTCAGGTTGCAACTTGAGGATCTCTCTCTAATCCAGGTACGTGCAATATATTTTTCCATCTCTTTCAATTTGTTCCTGTATTTGATGTGGCGAGACCAGATGTTTTAAAGATAATCAAGATATCCATTGGCTTCATAACTACAGCTGACTGTGCAGCTATTTTTATCCTTGTTGCTGCCCCTCATTATGTAAGTCTCATTGCTTATTTTAATTCCAGATTGGCCTTTTGTTCCAGGCCATACAGACTTGCTGTTACGTATCTACTGTGATTTAGTAAGAGTGAATATATCCAAAATGGAGGCTGAAGATAAAAAATGTTGTATTAGAGAAATGGTCTGACTTGCATACGGTCACCTTGCGGGAGTCACCTGACTCCTAGTTGTCTTTCCTGTCTGGTGCAGGGGTCTGGACCCAGTGATCCCCTGGGGTCCCTTCTAGCATCACAGTTTATGAATCTATGAATCCTGCTGTGTCTTTCTTGTATAACTCCCCTCAATATCTGTAGTTCTCATGTGAAAAGGCTCTGCTCCTTCTCTATACTGGCAAAGAAAGGAGAGTACCCATCTTTGTTAAGGAAACTGCAAACAGCAAAGAAAGACAGCAAAGTTGTGTTAAACAGATGCAAGCGTGAAGATGATTCTGAGACTCTCCCTGCCTTAAGGAATGCAGCTAATTACTGTTTAAAGTTATTAGAGCAGTGATTCTCAGCCAGGATGCCATGGTAGCTCACGCTGATGTGAGATCTTTTTAAGGGTGCCACAGGATGCCATGCCTTATTAGCACCATTAGGTGTGCAAACATCTGGGTCATAGGACTAGAAGGGACCTCTTGAGGACGTGCAATTCAGTCCTCTGCTCAGGGCAGAATCACCCCTGACTAAATCATCCCAGTCAAGTGTATGTTTAAATTGCTCTTGAAAATTTCCAAGGATGGAGATTCTGCAGCTTGTTTATGGAGTCTGTTCCAAAGCTTTACCACTCTCACAGTCAGAAAGTGTTTCTTAATTTCCAGACTAAATTTCCTCTGCCACAATATGATGCTGCTGCCTAGTCCTGTCCCCTACAGCCACAGAAAAAAAGGCTATATCCCTTTATCTTTAAATCACCCTTCTGGTACTTGAAAACTAATCAAATCCTGTCTTAGTCTTCTCTTTTCCAAACTAAGTAACTCTAGCTCTTTCAGCCTTTCCTCATAAGTTATGCATCCCAGGTCTCTAGTCATTTTTGTCAGCCTCTACTGGACTCTTTCCAATCTGTCCACATTTTTCTAAAGTGTAGGTCCCAAAGCCAGACACAGTCCAGGTGAGGCCTCACCAGTGTTGAATCACTTCCCTTAATTTGCTGGTGACCCTTGTGTTATTACAACCCAGTGTGCTGTTGGCTTTTGTTTGCAGCAAGAGCACACTGTTGGCTCATATTCAGCTTTTGGTTCACTGTAACACCCAGGTCCTTGGTCCTTCTCTGCAGGACTGCATCCTAGCGAATCATTCCTCAGTCTCTGTGCATGCATTTTTTTTTCTTTCCCAGGTGCAGGATTTTTCACTTGTCCTTTTTGAATTTCATCTGGTTGTTTTCCTACTCTTTCTCCAGTCTATCCAGCTTGCTCTGGATCCTAGCCCTACCACCCAGAGCATCTGCAACTCTGTCCAACCTGGTGTCACCTTCAGATTTGCTATCTGTGCACTCAATCCCATTATCCAAATCATTAAAGAGATGCTAAATAATTCCAGGCCCAAAACAGGCCCCTGGGGAACTCCACTTGATACCTCCTTCCAAATAGACACTGAGCCATTGATGAATGGTTCACAAGATGAACCCAGAGAGTTCAAATAAAAATGCAAAGCATCAGAAACATTCCGATTTGTGGTTGTCTTTCTGAGTTCTTTGAAAAAAAAGAATTGTTCTATTATTATTTCTCTGTAGTCAAAAAAAACAAAACAAAACCGTGAAAGCTAAGAGCTGTCATTTTCCAAGGTATGTCTTGAGTTTAACGAGGGTGCCTTGAGTCTAAAAAAAAAAGTCAAAAACCACTGTATTAGAGCTTGACACTGGAATCTTTAGGCTGTAAAGAAAGAGTAGAAAGAACCCCAAATCTGTTCATTTTCCCTCTGAACTTTTTAAATACTGGTGAGACTTCCATGTTAAGTATTTGTCAGATATCACAGTCTTATGTTCCCTCAGGTCTCTGAATCTCATTTTTTGCTCAAGCTTTTCCCCCCTCCCCCATTTCTGTTATTCCTCCCATGCATATACTGCAGAAATGAATAATTTGTCATTTCTGTGTTCTTGGCTCTAATGCTTGTTTTACTGCATTTCATTTAAATTGGCTAGGCAGGTAAGGTATGCAAATACAAAATTGGAACAAAATGGAAACTTCGGGTTTGACACGCTCTTGTTTTTGCAGTTTAAAATCAACTTTGAATTGAATACTATGGCTTGCTTTTTTTTTCCCCTGCAGTGCTATTCTGCACACTTGAATGTTGAAAAAATAGTCAGTCAAATTAAAATGAGGCTAGCAGTGTGATGTGCAGAGCTCCAAGAGTTTTGTATGTATTGGGATTAAGCAAAAAAATCATCCCCTCTTTTTCTCTTCCTAGACCCATATGACTATAGGAAAAAGGTAAAGCTGTCTCATGTATTGCAGAAATTATAGCACTTAAATTAGTTGGCTGAAATATTTGAAATTACGGCTAGACCTAGGCTGAGCTACAATAGTCTGTAAACTATGTACCCTGAATCTGGGTTAACTATACTTACCCAAGCAGTTGTGGTTTGTGTAAAGCTGTACATGTAAAAGCAGCAGATTATTTATGTTTAGTGGCTGGAGATTCCCATTGATCTAAGGTGCTAAAGTGGATCAGAAATGGCTATTATAGTCTGTGATTTCAGTTTGCATATAAAGGTTCCCAGCTAGTGACTGATAGGATAAATGACAACAAGTAATATAGTCTGTAATGCTTCAGATATCTGCTCCTTCTGCAATCCCTTGCAGTGAAGCATGATTGTCTTTTATGACTGTCTTATCTGTTCAAAGATGGTTGATGAGGGCTATCCGGGATCAACAGACTTGTGTTTCCATGTGGGGTATAAAGAAATGTCACTGATTTCCACCCATTTTTTTTAACTACAGTCAGAAAGAGTGCAAAATAAATTAGTAAATGACTGGTGATAGCAGGAAGTTCCTGACTGACAGCATGATGCAGAATCCCTTCAGTTTGACAGTTCTTTCAAATTCAGTTTTAGTGTGGTCTTTTTCCCACCAACTCCAAAATTTTACCCAATGTTTTGTAAGCCATAGTCCATGCAACCTTCACCAAAGCTTTCGCCAACCCTTCCCATGCCCTGTCACTGGAAAATCAAACAGTAAAAGCACCTGGCTAGGAATGGAAAAAAGAAAACCTTATTTCCACATGAAATAAAACAGAGCACAGCTGTTTTTTCCCCTTCTAATGCCTTGTTTACTACACTACACCCATCTCTCCCCTCTTCTAATACACCTCTCCCATTTCCAGATTTTCTTATCCTTAGACTCCCTTGCAGTAGTTCAGATTTCTTCTATAATTCATTTCTTCCTCCCTTTCTTCTCTAGTTCCCTTCCCCCTCCTCCCCTCTCCCTCTGTTACTGTCCCTTTCTGGCTCATTCCTGGCACAAAAATAAAAAAAATGATTAGGACACCTTTTGGTTCAAAGATTTTCAGTCCTTAAAGGTCTGTAGGCATTTTAATTATGAAGCTCAAGATAGGGGAGAAATAATCAAAGCTTTGTTTCAGTATAACAAGTCAGAACAAAAGTGAAGTTTCTTATGGCAATGGAAGCCTCGCACAGGCAGGATATCAGATCACCTAAGTGTTTGTGTAGGAAAACACAGTTATCCCTGTATCTGAAATACATATCTTAAATTGCTCTTAAAGGTTTATCAGATGCCTTTAGTGATTGAAGACATGCAAACTGTTCTAATTGGTTTAAAATAAATCTGGAGGTTTTTTAAAAACTTGTTTTCTACCTTTTGAGCAAAGGATAAATATATTCAAGCTGTGGACCATAATCGTGGAGATCAGAATTTTTTTTTAATTGGAATGTGAGATTTTTACATCCCCAAATGTATCCATTGGACCCCAGAGTGGAAACATTTAATAAGAAAAACAACAGCTATCACAAGACTTGTGATTAAGTCCCAAGATTTTGTCTTAAGTCCTAAGGTTCAAGTTCATACCTTAGGCTTGGAAATAGGCATTGCCTTTGTGTCCCAGTAACATTTTTTTATGACAGCACAACAGCCAAGCAAGCAGACACCCATAACCATTGTTGCAACAGAAGTGCCCAAAATTGTGGCCATGACATTAGGTGACATAAAGTAGTGCAGCCTTCTTGCTGGAGATGTTTCTTTGCTTTATGGTGGCAGAATGCAGGCAGCCCAGCTCTCCAGCCACCCTGGGCAGGTGCTTCTGTGTCAGGGGCCTGATTATGTGCATCCCAGGAATTCCCCTGCAGGGGGATTCATGGAGCAAGTAGGCTCTGGCCTCTGAAGTCCTGGGAGTGCCTGCCTCCGTTAGCCTTCTTGCAGAGGTGCACCCCAGGAATCCCCCAGCA